GTTAGTTAGTAGTAAGTAACTAACGTAACTAACGTACCTACTACGTACGACCTAACCTAAACTAACTACTACTAACTAAACTAACTACGTATACTTAGAATTTTTTTATATGAAAAGCTTTTTGGCTTCTAATAGCCATGAGCTTTCGCCCCCTTTTCCTTTCTCATGCCAACCCAATTCCTCCCCTCCCCCCCTCTCTCTCATATACCCCTTTCCCCCCCAAAGAGCACAGAGGAAAGTAGGACATGCAGTTCCTCTGTCTTTTCCATTTCGCCCTCCCTTTGGCTGATTGCTCCGTTGACCGTAGTCTGGACTAAGTGAGGTTCCCAGCCTTTTATTGGCTTCTTCCGTTTTTCTTATGTACAGATGAAACTCGACATCACTGATGGTGCCTATTTGTTTATCTAAAGGAATCACTCTGATTAAGCTGGTTTTATTGTTTTGTTTTGTTTATTCTTGTATCGTGGTTGAAAAGTGGAAGAAGACTTACTGGTGTTGGATTAATTCAGTGTTTTTGGAGAAGGAATTGTCAATTTTTGTTAGTCCTCATTCTTAGGCTTAACTTCTATTCATTTAAATAAATAGGATCGGCTTCTTTTCTCAGGTTGCTGTTCCAAAATAGTAACTTTTCGAAAGAGGCCTTAGATGCCTTTTTTCTCTTTTCCTTCTCACCTTGAGCACATATTTTGTGGCAAGAGGTTTTGTACTATCTCTTCTTAAATTAAATTAAATTCATTTAAATATATTTCCTGGGTTTGAATGGCATGCCACTGTTTTCAATGAACAATATGTTGGTTTGTGCTTAATTATCAAGTCAAAGGAGAGATGTTCCTTTTTTTGGTTTGGTGTAGAAAAGCTACAGAAATTTATAGACATTTTTAGGGAGAGAACATCCATGGTGATGGAGATGGAGGCCAAGGCCATGGCATCATAGGGGTCTCAGTTCCTTGTCACTTTCTCCTATGCTTTTGTTGCCAGCATATTAGTTAGCTTGCATGACATCTCTACCTTGCTTTTAACAGGCGCTCTTTCTTCTCTCCTTTTTGTTTTTCCTTGAATCTTCACTTCCTTATTCCCATGACTCTAGGTTATCTCTCTATGCATGTTTGTAGGCCACTTTGTTGCCTTTTCACCTTCATGCCAGGCTTTTGCTACCTGATTGGGTCTTCTTGATGTTTTGAAACATCACATCTCTTGTGATTATGTCCTGATTTGCTTCCCATCCATTTCATCTGCAATTGTGGCTAGTCTCATTAATAGATACTGTCTAGAAGCATTTGTGATTCTTCAGATGCCAATGTTGAAGGTCTCATCCTTGGGATGACTAACTTTGGAATTGGTTTTGACTTGTACATAATATTTCTTGTTTTCTGTTTTAGTTGGGAATTTTGGGTTAATGAATTTGTATTTTAATATTTCACCTCTCTCTGTCTCTTCCCCCCCTCCCTCCCTTATATCTCTCTCTCCCCCCCCCCAGCATGAAAAAAATCAATTCTTTTCCACATCATTTGTTTTACATGCCCATGTTAAAGTGTTAGCAGGGTTGATAAATTTTTGATGAAAGAAATATCGGTAGAGAATTTTTTTTTTTGAGTAAAATATCAGTAGATAAGTTTTCTAGGTCAAAATTTATTATTAAGCATTCAAACAGGGACATCAAACGAATAAATTCTGCTTTTAATAATTTCATTGATAGCCAAACAGTCTACCAGTTCGGTAAAATAAAATGACAAGATCTTGTAATTCAAGTTGAATATGCTTCTAAGTTTCTCCAAGGAGAAGGTTATTTATCAGAGACACAAGGAAGAGCACAAGTGCACCAGTGTAGAATCCCCTAAACATAGGGATCTGAGAGTCACTCTGGTTTGCCTGATCATTTAATTTTCTATAGATTTGAATCAAGGAGAATAAATTTGTCTTAGTATTTTGAGGCTATTGAGGCTTGTATTGAGTATAGAAATTAAAAACAAGGTATTTAGAATACCTTCAACATAGTTTGAGAGAGAGATTGAGATTGGGATGAATTTGATACAAAGTCCACCTTTTAGCTATACGTTGATTAGAAATTTGGTTTGAAATGCCTTAACAGAAATCTTTGAAGTTTGAGTGTACCAGATGACCTTTCATTGAAGATTTTGGAAAATGAAAAGGGGAGTCACTTAGCATAATACTGAAAAATGAAACCCCTAGCATGATGCACATCACCAACCCATAAACTTCCTAGCCCAAAACTCTTGCATCTTGGACGAATGCAACCATTTCAACCATGAGGATCTTTTCACTTATCATTTTAGTTCTTTCATGTGACTGCACCCATTATATGCAATTAATTCTGACAGATCCGCCATGAGGGTTGTTGCATTGTGTGATTGAGATATATTTTATGATTCATGTGGTTTTTTGAGATAACTCTTATACTAGCTAGTGATTTGAACAACGTTGGATATGTCAGGCATAGGAAACAAATAAATATGGCTGCCCACCATTGCCAATATTCAATTGCATCAACCACTCACTCATGAGCATGCAAAAAGAGTGCATCTTCCTCTTTCAGCCCAATAGATGTGTTCATTACTAGGAAAAATATTATTTAAGGGGCCAAAACCCCTTACAAATTCGTTATGGGCCAAAACAAATTCTGATTGACATTTAGAGGGTATAATTTTTAATTTTCATTTCACTCAGGTACCTCCATGAAAAATATCTTTAAAATTACCCAAATCGCGTCGTTTAGAGTTGGGAACTGTAAACAAGCAAGGGCATTTTGGTATTTTGATCCACCCTGAATGAGTGGGGTATGCTGCTCATTTGGTTGGGGCCTCTCAGGTGGGTTAAATTACTAAAATTTCCCAGCTTCTTCAGGGTTCCTAACATGGGACATGGGCAATTTGCAATTTTGAGGATATCTTTTGAGGAGGTATTTGAGTGATATGAAAATTAAAAAGTTAACCTTCTAATATTAATTGAGATGTTTGACCGTCTTAATGATTTTCTACCCTGAAATGGTATTTTCCCTTATTACTGATGTCCAATCAGTCAAACATTGCTCCTGACTACAGTGTCAAGCTTATCGCTGGGAGTTTTAAGCGTGTCCCTCTTGATGGTTTCTACTTTGCTTATGGTTTTATGCATTGAACATTTTCTCACTTGAAATGATTCCTCGACCTGCAATGTAGTAGATGTTATATTTTATCTGCATGTTAGCAGGATAAGATGATTTCTACTGACTGGTGGGTAAGTTTTCTTATTTTTTGGGCGAAATTCATTCAAAATTTAAAATCTTTTATGTGCTTGTGATGTGGCTGTATTGTTAAACATGCAAATATTATCTGGTTATCAAGTTGTTAAACGTACTTGTGAGGCTGAGCTAGTCATATGACCTTAACATGATGCATAAAAATTGTCATATCTCTCTGTGTATGGTTTAGAACCGTGATATGATTTACTGTTTGTAAAGGTTAAATATGTGTATGTGTGTTGTTCCTCCAATCTCGATTCTTTATCATTACCCTGCAGGCAAATTGAGGAATATACTCATTTGATTGCTGGCATCAAAGCACAAATAAAACTGGTATGTTTAAATAAACTCGATTCTTTCCTTCGTCGTTCTATTATGGAACCTATTGTGTTCCTTGAATGTTAAAACTTGAGCACCATTGTTAAAATATTTTTGCTGATGTTCTTGTTTTCTGCCTTGTTTAATTATTTCTTCCAATTTGGTTGATTTTTTTGGAGCAACAAAAGCTGGGAGGATTTAGATGTTTGATTACTGGAAATTAAAGCACTAAAGGATATTTAAAAACGAACATTTAAACATTTCGAATTTCTTTTATATATCTTTTTGCTGAGGTTCTTGTTTTCTTCCTTGGTCAATTATTTCTTCCGATTTGGTTGATTCTTTAGGAACACCAAAAACTGGGAGGATTTGGATGTTTGATTACTGGAATTAAAGCACCAAAGGATATTTCAGAAAGAAGATTGAAACATTTTGGAATTTCTTTCATATTTCTGAAATCAATTCTATTCATGTTTAAGCAACTAAAGGGATATAATGATGCTACGAATTTTGTTTGTTTGCTTATGTGTATTTCTGTGGAGATATCCTTATGTTATCTGGGGGAATGATATATTTTCATCCATGCCCTTATGAAATTATCTTCATCTAAAAATAATTAGAGAAAAATTAATGGGTGAATGTCAACACACTTAGTGTATTTTGCTTGAATGTAATTCCATGCGCCCATATGTATATTTTGGTGTATCTGTATTTCTATGTACGTGTGTAGTGTCTAGATGTGTGGTCTTTGTGGGTGTATATAATTTGTAGCTACCGTGCAATTGCCCTCAAACTCCATTATACCCATGCCTTTTTGATAGTGCTGTATTTTATGATTTTCTACCAATGACCGGACTTGGGCTTGGACTTGCTAGTTCCCGAGCCCACATCACCTGGTCTAACTCTGGGAGTCCTGAGTCAGACCGGTCATTTTCTAACCAAGAATTTAGGGTTTAGGATGATACTCGGGGCAATCTTGAGGTTTTTACCTTGGGATAGCCCAGGTACCAATCTGGGACGACTCAGGCGAGTCTTAAGTCCATCATCCACTCATGATTTTTTAATGACTGCTTTCTGCACAGGGAAAGCTAAATTTATCTCAAATTGTTGTCTGTGGTTTGGGTTGCTTACAGGTGTGTGAAGGAATTCGCGAGTTGCTCCAACTCCCAGGATAGAAGGAGCTGCTGTCCAATCCATACTACAATGAAATAGTGCTGCCTGTCCATTTCCTTCACTCAAGTTTTGTATCCCTTCTTTTTTTTTTCTTTGATACTGTCAACATTGTACAGATGAAATAGAGAAATACAAAAACTTCCCCAAAGGGATTACAAACTTGAGGCACCATATATTTGCTTTGAAACCACATTTCATTTTTTCTGCTGATTTATGGTTAACCTGAATCGTATCTTTTGTGCTGATTTATTCTTACATGCTAAAATCTTCCAGTCTTTTTAATGTCATTAAAATGGGGTAAGTCTTAAAAGAGGCTTGACCCCATATATTTATGATACACCCAAACATGCAATGATAAATGTGTACAGAGACACATTCTATGTATATATATAGATTTGTAGGAGGGAACAATAGTTAATTTGTATATGTTTATGCATTCTTAATGGAAATGATTTTGCATACTGGCACATATTTATAGATGAACTAAAAGCATGCGTATCCATAAACACGAATTATGTAATGCAAGTTTGGAAAATGATCATGTGAGATGACCGGTAGCGCAGTATAACCCTGCTGGTCAAGATTGTAGGAGAATGAGACAATTGACGCAGGTTTGCTCGTTAATTAGGCCTCATCTAGGAGATCAAAATCTAAAAAAATTGAATTCTTGTCAAATGAGTCCTCTGTCATCTCCCCACTTTAGATGTCGACTGTTTGGCTTATACTATTATCTAGCCTATACTGTATTATAGGTGGGCCGGTTGAGTTATAGAAATATCTCCCTGCATGTGTCCTTGATGTTTGCATATATATAAAGAGCAATGATTTCATGCAACCGTTGTATAGTAATATGATGTAACAACTTTAAAAAACCATCTTGTGTCCATTTGTTTGATTTAAATTTTTAAGTATGCATTTTTTCATTTTAATGAACAATTATAAAAAAAAATAAAATTGAAAACATAATTTAGAAAGTATTTTTTAGTTCAATTAATATAGGCCGTTCATTTTGGTGAGATTTTTAGATTTAGGTCTTAAAAAGATTTTTTCATTTCTATTTTTTTTTGGATGACTTTATTATCATTAGATGAACAATGTTAGAAAAGAAAAAAATGGTTTTGAGTTTATAAAGGTTAAGATTTTAAAATTCACAAAATGAATAGTCTAGATTCGTTTTTGGAGGGGATTTATTTTGACTATATCTAGGGTTTAAATTGAATTTTTTTTTTTTGAGATTGATTATTGAGATGAAGAGAGTGTGTGTGCAAAATTTGAGGTCATACAAATATCACAAACATGATTTTCTAAAAGTGTCGTTTCATTATATTATGATACAACCGTTGCATTGGATCATTGCTTTCGATAAATTGTTTTAAAAGAAATTATAGGAATCCCCTAGCTCGTGGGCTCAACTTTCTAAGCATCTCCCCTAGGTACTTTTTAACTATAACCAAATACTATTCTTTTTGGTCTCGTAAGTAAAAAAATAGTTTCTTTTTTTTATGAAAAGACCCCTATCCAAATGCACATTTCTTTGTTTTTGGGTCCCCGTTGTAGCCAACCTGGCAAAATTTGGACAGGCTCTCAATCCCTATTAAAGCGTGTTAAGCATAACGTGCACCGGATTAGTTTTTACAGGGACAAGCGGCAAGCTAGTCTGATATATATTGTGTTCGATTGAAAAAAAAAATAAAAAGGAGGAAGGAAAGGAAAAGAGAAGCGTTAGTTTAGAAACGAGGTATTTTTGTCAAAATAAAATAAAAGACTTATTCTTTCATTTTGGGGGTGGATGTAAACAAATAATATTTTTGAGATTAATGATATGGTTTAAAAAAAATTGACGGTGGTATACCTTGAAACTTAATTCAAGGCGCATCAATAGTTTCCCCATTGATTTCATGTTGGCATGCATGCGTGTCCACATAAAACCTTTGCAATCCGACTTAGTTGGATGATGGCTATTGCATGGACATGTTGCAATCTCCATAGTCTAACTAAGTTGGACGCGGTAGGTTACATGGGGGCCAAGTGGGCCCGTCAGCACAAAAATCTTGTTCTTAATCTATAACTTTGGGTAAGTGCTTGTCAGCATAAAAATATAGTCTTGTTTGTCAAGAGATTCTATGCTCCCTAGGGAGCATTTCGGACATTCAGGTAAAACCTATCTAGGAGCATTCTTAGGAAACCCCTCAATCTAGCAACTAATTTTCTTATTTCTTTTTTTTTCATATGCACTCTTTAATTGAAACAAATAACTTCCTCATATTGATTAGAGACCATGTAAGTTTTGGATGGCCTTATTTCAAAGGCATCATATATTTGGAGGGGAATAGATGATTGTAGATTGCTTATGGTGAACAACATTAGAATGGTAGTGGGGGATGGAGGCAATACGTATCAATACTCAAAACTACCTTAAATGGAGTACTTTTTAGCCCAAGGAAGCCAGATGAGATGATGTGGGAACCAGTGTTCAACTAATCGGGCGCATCTCTTTCGGATTTGCTTGAGTAACTCGGGCTTGCCACCTTGGGGAGCTCAAGTATTCCCGAGATGGGTGTCCAACTCGAGGATCTTAAAATAATTTACAAAAATTATAAAAAACTCAAAAAAATAATAAATCTATTTGTAACATGTTTTATGTCATTTTGGCAAAGAGTGAATACTTATTTTTAGATTTTCCCCTTTTTTGGATTATTTTAAAAATATTATAGATCACAAATTGATTTTTTAAAATCTATTTTTTTTTCTAATTTTTAATTTCATTTAGATGTGTTTTGTTTAATAGTACTTTACACATATATTTTCTATTTTTTTGGATTTTTTTTTTGAAATTTTTAACACATTTTTTGCTTTCCTGGGTACCTGCCCAACTTAGGTCGGGTACTCGGACCCAGCCCATTGCCAGTTCCGGCCGGTTAGAGCAATCGAACACTGGTGGGAACTCAGTCCTTCCGGTGAATTCACAACTAAATCTCTTTACAAATTGCTATTCAAGTTGAGGAGCCTTCAGACAGGGAGCGAATTACGTAATGGACTTTACCAGCCCCTTACTGAACACAAGCCTTCTTGTGGCTAACTTCTAGGGGAAAGGCATCGAGGATGAGAACACCATTGACCATCTCTTTTCTTCATTGCTTAATATGAATGGTACGGAAAGAGCGTAATCGTAGATTGTTTCAAGGAGCGTTCATGGAAGTCTGTCGAATAAAGTTAGATATCTTGGTTGCAGTTGCATCATGGACAATGGTGTAAGGAAGGAATTTGGGGGAGTGACCAAGGAAGTCAAATACGGTTGATACAAAGTTGGTGGCAAAACTGTATAATAGAAAACCAGCAATGGAGAAGATGGCAACTGCCCAAAATGGTTGGATTAAACTCAATTTTGATGGCAGCACTAGAGGCAATCTGGGGGCTGCCAGCTTAGAGTTATTCTAAGGGACATGAGAGGTCAAACGCTTCGCATAAACTTGGGACCATGCCAAGAGTCTAGTGCCGCTGAGCCCGAAATTAAATCTCTGTTGCATGCAGGGTATGAGATGCCTGTTGAAAGGTAGTGGAGGGTCACTCCTCTAATGTAAGTATGTGGTGCAATAGAATGGTAAGTCCTCCATGGAGATCTATTTAAATTCTAGATGAAATTAGGGAGTTGGAGGTGGGAAGGGAAGTGAGGTATAACCTCGTGTATAGGGAGAAGAACCAAGATCCGGATCGGCTAGCTAGGGAATGTGCCCAAAGGGTAGAATTACCAGTCTGTTGGGAACAAAGCAAGAGTCTTAATCGATCTCTCTCAAGTAAATAAAAGCCTAGGAATCGGTTCTCGGCTTGATTAGTTAGTAGTTGACGTCAAGTTCGATTCCTACCACTGAACTATATATATAAAAAAAGAGTAAATAGAAGCTCAATTTGGTATTTTGAGTGCATAATTTTTGCCGTCTTCAATCTCAATTATCCTGGGATGAGGTTTTGTACATATATTATGAATTTAAGATGCATAATTGATTGATTCGTTAATGAAACTCATGTTAACAGGTAACCAAAACAAAAAAAAAAATCCTCAAAATCTATTCTCTTTTTTGGATCCTATATTTCTATTCGTGCTATTACTAAACGTCTGGTGTCTCTAGTTTCCCTTCAGGAAAAATATACAATGAGACCATTTATCTTTGGTAGAAGGTGGTAACAATTAATTTTGATCATTGGATGTGAAATTTGATGGTTGCATTTATTCTATTAGCCAAGCTCAAACTTCAAAAGAAATTTTCTCAAACTTTGTGACATGCCCAATCTATCAGATTTTACATCGGATTGTGGTAAGTAATTGTGACCTCCATGTGTTAAATGTAAACGGTCTCATTATATACAATCCCTTCTCTTTAAATGGTGGTTGAACACCTTGTGGTAGGTTCTTAATAATAGCGGAGAAGGAAGAGGAATCACACTTAAGGCTGAATAGGCTACAGCCAGCCAAGGCCAAACTCGGCCACAAACTTGGATTTGGGTCGGGTTTGTGCCTAGCCTGAATCTAAAAGGGTTGCCTAAGCTCAGCTTGACCTGAAAAGGATCGTGTTGGTCTTGAGCCATAATATTTGGATATAACAAAATATATATAAATATATGTTATATATTTTTGGGTCAGCTGACCGAGGCCAGGCCATTGGCGGCCCTACCCTGAGTGATGGAATGAAGCAAGCATTTCCTTAATCAAGAATGAATGGGGAAGACTAAGTATTCCATTCTTAATGGTACAAACAAACAAGGCTTTAGCTACAAACGCCTATTTACTCTGTTTGGATCTGAAACCTAAATTCTGGACGTATCCAGATCTAGGTATGGATCCAATATTTGGATCCGATGAGTTGAATAGGTGACTTATCTATCGGATAAAGATAAACTTCTAATATAACCCCTCAATTCCTTAAACAAGCTGCCATGATTGAAGGAAGAATATAGAACACCTATCTCTTACTATCTTTGATCCTTTCTCTTCTAATATGTAAAAACGAATGATATTTTTTATCCAAAATATTTGATTTATTTTATCACAAAAACATCAAAAAGCTATATAAATCGTCTTGAATATTTATTAAGAATTCCTGACTTCCCAAACATCTCAAAACGATTATCAAATTATTTTATTCAAAAGAATTTAGGAGAAAATTGGAATGGAGGGGCGTGTGGGCCTGTGGAGGCCTAATAGGCCCCATGCCCCACATATACTGTCCCATGGGTGGACGCTTGACCCTCGGGTCCCATGTGGGTTCAATAATTTTGGCAACCCTCATTAACATGTATTACAAAAAAGGTGTACGGTTGCAACGGAAACTGTTGAAGTTGGGTTACGGTCATTTCCAGCCTCCATTGATCGGACGGCGAGGATTATGCAACTCGTCTAATGAAAAAGAACACCAACCCTACTTTTCTCTCTCTTACTTCTGCATCTACCCACGGTATTTTCTTCTCTCTCTATCAACTTCTCCATCTCCACTGGATTCTCCCATTTTTCCTAACACTCTCTTACTTTTTCAAACTTCTCACTCCGAACCTCTTTGGCCTTTCTTCTTCTCCCGGAGAAAGAAACCCTAATCCTTTTTCAAAATAAGGAAGATGAACCAATTTATTGCAGAATACTCTCTCTCTCTCTCTAAAATACAGAACGGGTTTTTTCTCTAGAGTGGGTTTATCTCAAGACAAGATTTTTCTCTATGATTGGAGTGAGTTTATCTAATGGGGTGGTGTTCTGCTTTGCTCCTGCTAAAGGGATGGTTTGCAGTTATTCTTCCATGCCAATGCAAGGTATGTTCATAATCATCACCATTTTAGGGTTTCCCCTGTTTTCTTTTTTTCTTTTAATAGAGAGAGAGAGGTTTTATTTTCTTAGGGATCCAAATAGACCAACATCTGTGGTCTTTCTTGGTTTTTTTTGCTTTTTATTTTTATCACAGTTAAAATAAATGATTCAATTGGCATGGTAGGATTGATATAGATAACCCTGGGTTTTCTTTTATTGACTCCATTTGGATGTATTTATCTTACAATGTCAATGCCAGGTATGTTCATAACCATCACCATTCTACGGTTTCCCTATTTTCTTTTTTTCTTTTAACAGAGAGAGGTTTCATTTTCTTAGGGACCCAAATAGGCCAAAATCTCTAGAAATAGCAGAAATCGATGGATTTTGATGGTCCTCTGGTGGTCCAAGTTTGGGTAATTTCATTCTTTAAGCTGATTAATTTGTGATCATCACTCTTGGTTGGAGTGGAAATGGGCGATTATTTTCTTTTGCATAGCTCTGAATATTTTGATGCATTGCTTGCTTAAATTTCCATGGCTATGAAACTGTTTATTGTTGTTGTATTGTATGCGGGACTCTATGTTTGTGGTTGCTCTGGAAGGTTTGAGAATTTCCGTTTTGGGTTATGTTTTTGTTGTGAATAAATACTCAAATTCTTTAGAAGATTGATAGCCTTGCAATTTCGCCTGGTTAGAAAGGTAGCAATATCTCTGTCTCTAGACCTACTTTCGGAATAATCGGTTGTCTCAGATTTGAAATTGTTCTGACCTCATTACTGAGGAAAGGCTACTTCTCTCAGGCTGAATTATTGGGGTGTGACGATGTGTTATAATGACGTTTTTATGTCCTTCTATTGGAGATGGCCAAATAACCTTAGATTAAAGACTTGGTCGGTCTCTCTCTCTCTTTTATTTTATCTTATGAGACCCTCCCACACTCATGTGTGTAGGACTCTAAAGGATCACCATTAAATTTAGTACATATCTTTATAAAAGTCGAGTCCCATACCCATGTAATAATTTTTTTAGAGATCTGTACCAAATTTAATAGTTATTATTTGGGGTACTATATACATGGATGTGGGAGGTTCTCGTAGGATCGTTACTCTTCATATGGTTGGTGTTTTTATCTCTCTCTCATCTCTGCCAGTCAGTGAGTCATGGAGAGTTTCCCCCCATTAATACTAAGCAGTGAACTTAGAGTTAGTTTTTCTACTACCAATTTGGCCTATTTTTTATTTTATAGGGCCTTAAGTTTGTCATATCTAGCTTGTGTGGCTTCGTAACTAGTAAGGCAGTTGAAATTTGTGACTGATATGGTTGCCTTCATTTACGTCTTTTCTGATGACAATTTTGTGTTTAAAAGCATAAGGAATATCTCCTTCTAGGCATACAATCCTCCTGTTTAGTCACTCAAGTCTCAATGAGAAGCTAAGTTTACCATAGTCCCCTAGGTAGCCTGTGCCCGGGAGTCTAGAGATGAGACTGTTGAACAAAGGGATGTATGCCTATAAATCCTCCATATTAAAACAAGGATCTTTTAGAGCAAATATATTTTTATACAAGAATGGTGAAATATGACTTTTTTATTTTGGTTTTCCTTTTATTCTTTTTTTATTGTAGTGAAGAATGGCCCGTTATTGTTACATGATAAATGTTGAAGTAAATTTGATCCAAATGATACGGGGAACGATTTAATTCACTTACTGTGTAACCTCTTCGGAAGGGTTGGTTTGTTTGTGACTTTAAAAGAGATTGTATTGCTAGCTATGAGTATTCATGATGGGGTCATAACTATTTGGTTTTATCTTTTTTTTCTTGCTAGATTTAGTAATATATTTGAACACAATGAGAATGGGAATTTGAGCGAGGCTGGTAAGTGATAATGCGTTTTCCAATTTTGATGCCAAGGAATTCAAATGTAGTTCCTAATGGGCACGTAAATGGTTATTTAAATGCTTATTTATTCCCAAATTCTTGTTCAAGTAATTCTGCTTATTTTATTTTAATAGTGATTCAAGTAATTCTTATTCAAGAAGACTTTTGTTATAAATTTCAAATAGTTAACCTAATCAGCGAATAATTCATTAATTTAGATGGGTTTGCCTAATTTTGATCTTTTCATATAAATAATGCAAGTATTCACAATCAAGTTATATACATTTGTTAAGTTGTGGTTGGTATTGTGAAGTAATTCCAATATTTTATACTTCTTCTTTGTGTTCACAAGCTTTAAACAACTATATGTTTCTTGGTGTGCATGTAACTGGTTATTTGGATACTCAAATTTTTTAATTCCACTAATGTGTTTCTTTCCTTTTGGAAGCCATTCAAATAATTATTACAAAAGCAAATTTTTGTTCTTAATTTCAAGTTGTTATATATTTATCAACAACATGTTGGTAATTCATTTATTCATACGGATGTGCAAAATATTTTGCTGACAATATGAACTACAAACACTTTTAATTTTACAAAATAAGAGAAACTATGTAATTTTGTTTTGATCCTTTGTGCTGTGTTTATTAGGCTTTTGTGAAGATTCATTCTAGAGGATAAGAATCCAAAGCTAAAGCCATTGATCTCAAGCCCCTCATCAACATTACCTTTTGAGCTTAACTAATAGCCTAAATAGTGTATGATGGCATGAGTCTTGAGGATTTTTCAGAATTGTTCAGACGGTGGTGGAAGGGCTACTCTAAGCAAAGCAAGCGCGTCTTTGCCTTACTTGACCATGATTTGGGCAAGATCTCAATATGCAAATGACATGCACAAATCTAACATGAAGTGTCTCCTTAAGTAGTTTGTGTTGGTTGTCTAAAGGGTAAAATTCTGGTTTATAATCCCCAGGAGGTTCAACAAGAGTGCATCCCTTGTTTGTGAACTTTATTATTCTTATATGTTGAATGCACCTCTTTCACGCATTTCTATTTTTTAGTTACATAACTTAGGAGAGAGAGACAAAGAGAGCACATTTGGTATCGATTGTGATGAAAGAGCGGGAGCATATGGTATCAATCGTGATGAGAGAGAGTGTATGTGGGAGGATAGACTCCTACATATCCCACATCCCAACAAATCTATTGCATCAGTTGGGACCTGAAATAAGCTCATTTGTAAAAAAAAAAAAAAATGAACAAGAGAAGATAGTTTAAAAGGAAAAGTTTTATATAAGGTTGCATCTTTAAAATGTAGAATCACATATGCACCTCAAGATTCTATCGAAAATGTTGTTTTAATGTTGAACAAGCTCTCTAATCAATCATCTCGACATCGAGATCTATGAATATGAAAAAACAAAAGTTTTTGAATATCGGAAATAGTGTAGATTGGAAAATATTATCTAGACCGTCCATTTTCAAGATTTTCATATATTTATAGGTCTACTTGATTTTAACCATTTTTGTAATTTGAAATTTTCTAATTAGATATGAAAATAGATTTTAGGATAATACTAACAATTTTTTATAACAAAATTACATGTTATGATAAAATTTTAAGGTGCTCCTTAATTGGATTGTTTAATGTTGCAACCTTATAGAAACTGTACCTTGGATTAAAATTGAGTAGACACATCAACCTAGTACATTAGACCCATTAATATGCTCATTTATGTATATATATAAAAAAAGTTAATGGTTGGACAAACTTGCCGCTTATTAAGAAAAAGCTTGGACAAAATATTCAAGCTTTCCTGATTAAGAAATGCATTAGGAAGTTAAAGGTTGCATTGTCAATTTATGTAGCAGTAGGTCCAATGAATCAAATTATGCAGCAGTATGTCCAATACTTCACATCTTTTTAGCATAAAATTATCATGAACATTATCAATAGACTATGTTGAAAAAATGTTATGTTTTCCACAAAATGTCATTTTCCATACTTTTCCATGCATATCATAAGGGCTCAAATTTAATACCTCTGTTTTCTACAGTGATCCATTCTTATATACATAGAAAATTATCACACACTTAATTAATACACACTTGTTTCTTACACAAGCTTCTTACACAACGTCATACCTTGCAAGGTAACTAACATCATAACTACCAAAAAAAATATGTAAGTAGATATCCAAAAAAATGTGTAATTACATATCAAAAAGTCAATTACATATCAAATTAAAGGCCAATCATTGTTGCTCCTTAGCCACGGCGCTTTGAGTGTTACCCATGCTCCTTGGGAAGTTACTTGGGCCCTCGACAGTGACGCTCCTGTACCAAAACATAAAAGGAAAACAACTCAATAATATTTGGAGCATCTAACATAGCAATTTTCTTGTAATAGATTCTATTATTAAGATCGTTTTTTAAACAATATTTCACAAGTTGGAGCTAAGTGACTAACTAACACAAAATTGTTCATAATCATTAAACTTGAGTCATCAAAGTATTAAAGAAACAATAAATAATACTTCAATTAGCTTTTAAAACCTAAACTCACAACTATGAAATATGATTGATCGTACCTTGCACAATTACGCCTATCATGACCTATGACTCCATTGTATCAAATTATGCAGCAGCAAGTCCAATACCTCACATCTTCTTAGCATAAACAATGACAAATTACCACGAACATTATCAATAGCCTATGTTGAAGAAAGGCTATGTTTTCCAGAAAATGTCATCTTCCATACTTTTCCATGCACATCATAAGGACTCAAATTTAATACATCTGTTTTCTACAGTGATCCATTCTTATATACCTAGAAAATTATCACACACTTAAATACACACTTTCTTCTTACACAAGCTTCTTATACAAATGTCATACCTCGCAAGGTAACCAACATCAAAACTACCTAAAAAAATATGTAATTAGATATCCAAAAAAATGTGTAATTACATATCAAAAAAGTAATTAGCTATCAAATTAAAGGCCAATCATTGTTGCTTCTCAGTAACGGTGCTTTGAGTGTTACCCATACTCCTTGAGGAGTTACTTGGGCCCTCGACAATGACGCTCCTGTACCAAAACATAAAAGGAAAACAACTCAATAATATTTGGAGCATCTGAGAAAGCAATTTTCATGTAATAGATTCTATTATTAAGACCATTTTTTAAACAATATTTCACAAGTTGGAGCTAAGTAACTAACTAACACAAAATCGTTCATAATAATTAAACTTGAGTCATCAAAGTATTAAAGAAACAATAAATAATACTTCAATTATCTTTGAAAACATAAACTCACAACTATAAACTATGATTAATCGGACCTTGCACAATTACGCCTATCATGACCTATGACTCCAATGGATCAAATTATGCAGCAGCAGGTCCAATACTTCACATCTTCTTGGCATAAACAATGACAAATTACCATGAACATTATCAATAGCCTATGTTGAAGAAAGCTATGTTTTCCACAAAATGTCATATTCCATACTTTTCCATGCATGTCATAAAGGCTCAAATTTAATACCTCTGTTTTCTACAGTGATCCATTCTCATGTACATAGAAAATTATCACAAACTTAAATATACACTTGCTTCTTACACAAGCTTCTTACACAAACGTCATACCTTGCAAGGTAACCAACATCAGAACTGCCAAAAAAAATATGTAAGTAGATATTAAAAAAAATGTGTAATTACATATCAAAAAATCAATTAGATATCAAATTAAAGGCCAATCATTGTTGCTCATCAGCTACGGTGCTTTGAGTGTTACTCATACTCCTTAGGGAGTTACTTGGGCCCTCGACAGTGATGCTCCTGTACCAAAACATAAAAAGAAAACAACTCAATAATATTTGGAGCATCTGAGAAAACAATTTTCATCTAATAGATTCTATTATTAAGATCATTTTTTAAACGATATTTCACGAGTTGGAGCTAAATAACTAACACAAAATTGTTCATAATCATTAAACTTGAGTCATCAAAGTATTAAAGAAATAATAAATAATACTTCAATTAGCTTTGAAAACCTAAACTCACAACTATGAAATATGATTAATCGTACCTTACACAATTACGCCTATCATGACCTATGACTCCAATGCATCAAATTATGCAGCAGTAAGTCCAATACTTCACATTTTCTTAGCATAAACAATGACACAATTACGCCTATCATGACCTATGACTCCAATGCATCAAATTATGCAGCAGTAAGTCCAATACTTCACATTTTCTTAGCATAAACAATGACAAATTACCATGAACATTATCAATAGCTTATGTTGAAGAAAGGCCATGTTTTCCACAAAATGTCATCCTCCACACTTTTCCATGCATATCATAAGGGCTCAAATTTAATACCTCTGTTTTCTACAGTGATCCATTCTCATATACATAGAAAATTATCACACATTCAAATACATACTTGCTTCTTACACAAATAGATTCACTGTCATACCATGCAAGGTAACACACTTAAATAGATTATATTATTAAGATCATTTCTTAAACAATATTTCACAAGTTGGAGCTAAGTAACTAACTAACACAAAATCGTTCATAATCATTAAACTTGAGTCATCAAAGTATTAAAAAAATAATAAGTAATACTTCAATTAGCTTTGAAAACCTAAACTCACAATTATGAAATTTGATTGATCGTACCTTGCACAATTACACCTATAATGACCTATGACTCCACAACCACCACACTTTCTCTTACTTGTTCTCTCTTCGTACCGAGGTTTGATTCTCAAATGGGTAGGTGGTCGTCTCTTCGGCTTTGCACAAGTTGAAGCCTTTATAGTCAAATGTGGGTTGGAAGCTATGGAGAGGATGGGATCCACACAAAGGGCAGGTGTTCTTAAGGACATAGGGCTACTAGGGGTAGGAGAGACTTATTTTGTGGAAGCTTTCTCCTTGTCCACTCTAGCAGCAAGCTTGTCGCATGCCTCATCTATAACCATCTTTGCGTATTCATATACTCTAGGACTCACGGCCCCATTAGCTAATAGCATGTTGCACCGTTGAAATAGATTATTGTAGCACATGGAATAGGCATCCTCATGATTGGCCCTTACTTGAATTCTAAAACCATCACGAGCAACCCCCTTTGTCACATCCTTTGTCCATCGCTTCATTATATAGTATTGGGGCAACTCAATGATATTTTTTGAAACAAATACCTTAAGTATGTGACTACAAGGGATACCCATGTGCTCACATAGATGGCAGCTACATGTTATTTTCTCCTCATTATTACTGAATACAATTGTATGGGCAGGGTCGCATGCCCCATATTCTTTCAAACTGAAAGTGCATATGATCCCATCATTCTCTTGCACTTCACAAGTAAGATCAGTGGCCTTTATCAACTCTGGCTAAAAGAAGTTTTTAAAGATAGTTGGGGTGTAAATTGAGCCATTTGCCTTTTCATGCGGGTCGCAATCTTCATAACTGGTGTTTCATTATGAGATTTGAAGTCTGCACTGTTTTTCTCATCAATTTTTTTATCAATTAGCTCTTGAAGTCGGCTAACAAATGTAGTCAAGTTAGTATGGGAATTTATATATGCCTTAATGTCCTTATTCATGGCTTCGCTTCTTCCACTAGTCCTATTGACAACCGAGAAGCAATCTTGCAAATATACATATATCCACTGGTGTTGGATTTCATATAAGGACTGCATCCCATCATTGTTTATTCATATCTTTCTATCATTCTTTGCCACTCATCTTCAAATTCCATCATGGTGGTGTATGGTCAAGACACTTGTATAAATCCCCACAGAATGATGGATGTTTGCGCTCAACTTGCACTATTTTTTGTTCAATTTTTTGTTTAACATGCCATCTACACAAGCGATGTCGGGATTCCGAGAATACATTTTTTATTGCAAGGGCCATTGCCCTATCTTGGTCTGTGATAATTGTCTTGGGTTGGCATCCATTCATCATCTTGAGCCACTTTTTGAACAGCCATGTAAAAGACTCCTCATCTTCTCTATGGAGCCAAGCACATCCTAATAATATAGTTTTCGTGTGGTGGTTTCCTCCTAAAATTGGGGCACATGGTATCCCATAAGCATTGGTTTTGTATGTTGTATCAAATATAATTACATCCCCAAAGAACTCGTAAGTGATCCTTGATTTTGCATCAACCCATATCACATTGGTTAAACGCCCATCTCGTCAACTTGTATCTTGTATGCAAATAATGGGTTCATGGCACTCTTAGTAGCAAAGAATTCCATCAAACCCTCTGCATCCCCACCTACCAATTTAGATTTGTTTTTCCGATTGTTATATATTGCATTCTTGCAATCTACTTCCACAAAAGGGAGACTCTTCGGACCTCCAACCTGTGTAGCCAACACTTTTGTTATCTTTGAGGCAGTTAACCCACATGAGTTATACATGTAGATCATCTCTCTTATGGCCTTCGAAATTGTACGATGTGACCAAAGGAGATGGACTTTGGATGGTGAAGTAAAGGCATGAGAATGATCTTTTTCGTGTTTCGAAATGAATCATATGCCATATTCATCTTTCTTTATTCTTAGCTTTGCTTGACACTCTATCCTTGTATAGGGTCGAGATTGATTCCCCTCATACTTCTTGTGCCACAGACCTTGTTGTGAACATACATATTCACGAGCAATGACCGACCCATCTTTTATTGATCAATGAGTTGGAGAACGTCGAACACTAAAACCCATTCTTTTTACATATTTATTATAAAAATCAAATGCAGCTTCAAGAGATTCAAACCGCATACCTTCTTGTGAAACCTTATCATTGCATTCCAAAGTTAGTGGCTCTACCATGCAAGTCTTATCTTGACTTATATAAGAGTCGCTGCCATTGTGTCACCATCCACATGAATAATATCGTTTGTTTCATTGTTGTTATACTTTTCAATAACATGAATATTTGAAATACTCTCCGCCTCCATGTCAATTATGTTTTTTGTGTCCAGCTTTAGGTCCATCCTATTTTATTGGCCCATAAACATAAGAAGAAATTCTAATTAGACATTTATTGACTCGTTTTAAGTCAGAATTATTCAAAAAATTATAGAGCTAGAATTAAAGATTCTCCTTATACTGCTCTTTTGACACTCCTAATATTTCTGAGATGGTTATCTTCATCACATACAACAATAGCAACAAAACCATGAATACATAAATATCATAAGGGTACTACCAACATACACATTCTCTCTTTACATACTCATTTATACACATAAAAAATTCTTACTATACAAATAAACTTTCTTCCTCATTCATATACAAAAAATATTTAATATTCTCATAAAGAGTAGTGCAACTAGCATGTTGCTGCAAATTTATAGAAAAATTGCAATATCTCTAATCACCAACATTTCATAACATCATCCATATATAATTCCTATTAATCCATGCATGTAATGTACATTGACAAGTACATAACACTCATTTATCTGGGATAAATGAGTTCAAAATTGAAAAACAAAATATAAACTTAAATTAATGGGTTGAGAAAATATTTAGCTTTATCTAACATGCTGCAAATTTACAGAAATTGTGTAGCATCTCCAATCGCCACCATTTCAAAATCCATTTACCATACACAATAGTTTTGGTATTTGTAATTCTTAGGAAACTTATTCAATTGAGTGATTAAAATATTTTATTCTTTTTATTTTCCAGACATATTGGTTTGATTTCTTTTATTTGCCAGGCCTGATTCAAGTTGATTTAATAGGTGGATTAAGAGATTAGACAATTTGTAGCCCAATTCCAAAGTAAATAACAAAACTAAATCAACCAAATTGTCAATCTTGAATTGAAAATGATTTTCTCGTAGTTCACGCTAAATTGATCACCATTTATGCAAAAAATATTTTTCCCCATAACAAAAAGTAAAAGAAAAAACTAAAAATAAATTCAGTGATTGAACCCAAGTTTTTTCAAAAAACTGTGGACTTTGCTAAAATAAACATCCACTAAATTCAAGCAAGTAATGGATACATTAATAATCTCTTTACATGGAACAAAATGAGGTGGAAGAAAATTTTAAGGCAAAAAAAAGAGAGCAAAAAAAACGAGCAAATAGCTTAGATGCACTAGAACATTGATTTGTGCAAAATAATCTTCACATGGGCAAAAAAAATACCCAAAGAAATCACCAACAAAAAAAGAAAGTAGCTCATATGTACCAAAATAGCTAATTGGGGAAAACAAATTCTTCTTTAGGGCATAAAAAAAAACTTGAGAGATTATTCTGGATTTCGAACTCTAAAACCCATAATAGAGAGACGGCTTAATTGAGGTGCTAGAATTGCAATGGTTGTAGAAGATTTCGAATGGCAGCAAATGCCAGTAGTGAGAGTCATTGAACTTTTTCTGAACTTTGCAATTCCTCCTTGAATTGGGCTAATTTTGAATGGTAGCAAATGCCCATTGGACCATTTATAACACAAGCCCTAATGGTCTCCTTCAAGCATCTCTCTTTGTGCCTCTCTCTGTCTCAACTTTTCTTCTATATGCTCTTCCTGTTTCTCTCAATCTTCTTTCTGTGTACCCTCTCTCCGCCTTCTCTCTCTAAAGTACTGGGGCCTTTTCTAATCCTAACCCTAATGCTCTCCTTCTATCTTCTCTTTGTACCTCTCTCTTTAAAGGGCTCTTTCCATCCCTAGTGATGAACCTCTCTGTACCTCTCTCTAAAGGGTTTTGCGATGAACTTGATGGACAAAGAGAGTTGTCCAAGAGGATAGAGAGAGAATTTGGTAAAAAGTTCTGATGATGGAGAGAGAGATGTCTAAGAGAATAGCAAGAGAATTTAGAGGGAAATTGAAAATGGCAACCGGAGCTTTCTATTTACTAGTTTCCCATCTCTTCTTTCTTTTTAAAATATCCACTGTTCATTTTATTGGACGGTGAAGAAAATTGCAACCGTAAGTGTTGCAATAGGGTTGTAACCTTATTAAAACTTTTCCCTTATAAAAATGTCTTTTGAATTTTTAAAAGTAAAGAGTACATTTGTTTTGAATTAAAAAATTGATAATACAAAATAAAATATATAGTGCAATTTAAGAAGTTCCTTTTTGTGATCCATTCTAAAATGCAAACAAGCGTTATTAAAAAAGAATTGGATTCATTGGGTCAGGATTATACAAATTTCTTAAAGCACTCTATCTATGCTAGTTCTTGCATTCCATGGTCTATCTTCTCAAGCCAACTCAACAAAATTTTGTAGTTAATCACAATGACTCATGATTAGTCCATCAAATCAAATGTGTGAATTACATGTTCTCTTTAAGGATAAGTCATGTCTCAAATAGAAATGTCCACACTATAGCAATGATGCAGGGGGCCTCTCTTCAACACATGTACACATACTAGCCTAATGTGTCGCTTCCTATATATGGGATTAGCATATGTACATGATTGTTTCATGATAATGTTGAGGATTTGGCCTTTGTCCTCACAAGCAAAAAACTGTATTTATGAGACGGCCCACCTCCTAACTAATCCACCATGGGCATCTCTAAACTTAACAAGAGCTAACATTGCAAACCCATCAAGGTTGTGTTTTATACTTAGGGATGAACGGTTCCAAACTCCATCACTAGGCCTAGATCGCCTAGGTTGAGTGAGTCAACAAGCACTACCAAGCATGCCTTCATGGCCCCATACAGACCGCACTCCCTTTGGAGTATATATCAATGTAGTTTATTTTTTACATGCTCACAAGGCCCTTGAAGCCACAAATCCTAAGATTCCCACTCAACTTTTGAAGGCTTTACAATCTATCTCTTTCTCTCTCTCCCTCTCTAAAATCTCTCACCCCTATTACAATCTCTCTCAAGCTCGCTACAATAAAGATATTGGGTAAACAATTACCTTTCTCATCTAAGGATGCTCAATCTCTCCTTCTCAGATCTTACCCCGAATATCATAATAGGCCACATTGATATGTTTGGATTTCTTATCAAACAGTAGCTCCGCTGCCACATAGATCGAAAAATCCTCTTGCACTCACAATACTTAAGAGTCGAATCTAAGCTGAATATGAAATTTCTTCAATCGCTTCTTTTGTAGCTAAACAAGAAGCCACATAATTGGTTTCATAGTGGACAATACTACAACATCATTTTTCTTTGAATATCAAGAAATGACTACTTCATGAAATATGAACAAGTATTCCAACAGGGATTTTAAGACATCTAGATCCCCTTGGAAGTCTAAAGCTAAATCTTTGTATATCTCGAGTATCAGAGCCACAAAAAAAAGATAAAAGGTGCAATATGCGAATGCTCCTGCTCAACCCAAAATGACTGGGTTCTCTCTTTGAAACATCGACAGCATAACAAACAAGGACTGGGTTCTCTCTCAATGCCCTCATGGTCATGCCAATATGCTTGTTTTCTAAGCCTCACATAATATCCCTCTTACCTGAGTTTACAATTGCAGACAAGATCCTACTACACTTGTCTCTTGGTTGTATTCCTTTACAAACTAAAGGATCTAATCCACATAATCTATTCGAAGGAAACCTTGTATATTTGTTATACTTAAGACATTCCGTATGGTTTATGGCCGAGGTAGTCGCGGATTCAATAACTATCTTTCTAATCAAATTAGGTTCTAGATCCATTTGAAAAATATTAAGTCAAGATGTATAACTGTTTAGCATCGCACACATGAGCAAACTTGATGTTCTTATGAATGGCATCCCTAAAAATATTTCAAAGACTCAATGTTTTTTCTTTTTAGCAAAATTCTGTTGACTTGGAATTTATTTCACAAAAAAAAAAAAAGAAAGGGTGAAGACTCATTAGGACACACATTTTTACGAACCTATCCATCTAGTCTCAACAACATTTATTGTTCTCAATTTATCCAATTCACTTTCTTTAAAAATAAAACAATGGAAAAAATCGTCAGTTTTTGAAAGCCCAATATTTTATCTTAATCATTTAATTATTTTAATTACCTCATTGATATTATCATGTCCCATACATAATTATGATTTATGAGTCATCAAGACTATCCATATTATATCCCAAAAGAAAAAACTAAAGACCCAAAAGAAAGCTAGATAGCTACTAAAAAAAAAAAACCTTGACATTTACATTATTGCATGCTACCATGGCAACTTCAAGAGCCAGGATGAGATTCTTATCTTATGCAGCTCACCACATCTCTATTGAGGATCATAGATATCAATTCAAAAAGTGGGGTTTTGTTGAGGTAATTCATGTTGGCACATCAAGCTTAAAATGTACTGCATGTTTTTGAATGAGTCAGCGCCCATGCTTAGTGTTTGAGACTTAGGCCACAGACCTTGAATTAGAACACCAAGTCATATCACTTGTGCTTAGTATCTTAAGTAGTTCTGGTATGTGGAGAAGCTCTTTCCATCTTGTAGCACCTATCATTTATGTCCTTGCTCTCTATATTCTATGAGTTTAACCAAGATACACTTCTTCATACTTCAAAATTAGAGGATTAAGATCAGGTTTTCACTCAGAGGGTAAGCTAGTTCCTGAAACTCCTTTCCCTGTATGACTTAACCATTGTAAGGTTGGATAGTTCTCGTACCTTTTGTCCGCTCGAGCTTGCGGTAGCACGTTTCAATCTTTATTTTTATTTCTTATGAACTTATGGCCTCAAGAAGGATGATACAAGCCTTGGAGAATCACAAGATCACTTTCCGTAATACGTCTGAAATAGAGCTTCAGAAAAAGAAAAAAAAGACAAAAAAAAAGAAAAAAAAAAAAAGAGAGAATAAACAGTAGTAAAAGTGAACAAAGATGGAACAAAAAAAAAAAATATTATGGCAAGATATCATTGGATGTGATTTCCTCATATTGTGCACAAAACGGTGTAAATTTTTATATCAGTAGAGAAAGTGGGACCAGTCAAATTACGGATAAAAAACAAGTTCAGATGTGATCATATCTACCTTCTTTTAGATCCACTAGTAGCGCCAACTGAGTTTTCACACTGAATTAATCCTTAAAAGCTATATCTATAAATAAACTATGAAAAATTAAATTAAAATAAATAACTAATTAAATAAAGAAACGTTGAGATACTTACTTGAAGAACTCGGAGTTGGAGCTTGTGTCAGGATGGCGGTTGTTTATACCTCTATCCCTTCTCCTTCGCCTTAAAGATTTGGGGACGTATAAGATCTTGTTCCTATCTTTATTTTATGGATTTTATAGATAATATTTAGTGGAAAATTTGGCATGTAGAGAATTCCTAGATCTAGGGTTTAGGTTAGAGGAAGTCGTAAGGGATTTTCCTTAAGAGTTTCCTAGGGTTTTTAGATTGTAGAGATTTTCATAGGATTTTTTATTGTTTTCCCTAATTCTCTAGGCTTTCTGATTTCGAAGGAATTTTCTTAAGGAATTTGGATTTTATAGAATTTTCTAATATTTTTTGAATGATTTTCTATGGGGGGGCTAGAGGGGTTGGATAGCTTGGGTTCTAGGCATCTTCTAAAAATACTCCCTTAATTATTAGGGCTTCACGCGTCCAAACACATCCAAAAACTGACCTAGACATCTTCTAAAGATACTCCCCTAGTTATTAAGGTTTCATGCATCGAAACACATCCAAGAACTGTCCTGAAACACCTTAGAGACCTCTAGAAAGTTTTAAAGATTTTAAGATATTTTTGCTAATTTTTAAGGCCCGTAAAGTGCTTGCGACTCACTACGCATTGTGGGCCCATCACTTGATTATCGTGCAGGGATTAAATTGGAATTTTTGTGAACAAATTTTGTTATACCATAATTTTAAACTGTATATTGGATTGGAATGATTATTAAACGTTTGGAAATCTTACAACCTCTTCTATAATTTGGAATTAAAAATGGTCGATTTTGGAAGAGTTTTGTGGGGTCTATTGTGTCGATAATCTGGGGGCGTCTATAATAGTATATGTATTCAAAACTATTTTCTTATGAAAAATGGTTTGATAGGGCTGCAGCCTTATCAAAATATGTAAAGCCTCATCTCATAACTCATCCAAACTTACAATTCAAGCATTGAAAAACCTTTACATTGATAACCTCGACTTGAACAATATGGTTGATAACCTCGACTTGAACAATATGGTTGTGAAGAAAAATTAGGATTTTGAGTTCTAAAAATAGGGTATATTATAACATATTATCTAGACTGTCCATTTTATCTTAAAACTAAGTGTTCATCGATTTACAAGATCTGTACATTTCTTAAGTTTTGAATTTTATTGCCAGTATTGGAAATTGATTTTAGAGCCATCATCGAGATTTTTGTTGCCAAAAGTACTTCCTAGACAAGGATTTGATGTGAGGCTTTATTTTCTTTTCATAAATCTTAGGCTTTATAGAATCTCATCCTTTTTTTATTATACTTGCAAGTGTACTTACATCGGACACAATTAAAAAATAATAAAATAAAACCTTACTACAATCTAAGTATCCACTCTTATTGCCACAAAACAAACCTTTTATTAATAAAAGAAATATGAATTAGAATGTAAAGTGCATCAAGATCAAAGGAAGTCTCTACCGAAAAACAAATTGCATCAGGATCACTTCTAAAGGACTTTTGTACACCCCACTACTAATCACAATCTCGATGGTGCATTGACTCGATCCCTGCTGAATCCCCTTAAGATACGAAGCTCTTATGGCAAACCTAAAACCAGTGGGGGTAGAAGAGCAAAATCAAGAAGAAAGATGAAGATTTGGTTAGGTGGGATATGTTGTGCTCTGATACCACTTGTTGTGCGTGCGGAAGCAATAAACTCGATGGGTTAATTTTTGACAAATAAAGTATGAGAAACAGAATCGACAAAAAACATGCAACAAACAATAAAAATAAAGCAGGAAATAAATAACAAACAAAAAATACCAAGATTTATGTAGTTCATCACAGATGTAACTACATCTACGAGCGAATACGATCAATGTTTTTACTAAATCGAAGAAAAAAAATTACAAGGCAACTTACTTGAGAGAACTAGAGTCTCAATCATTTACAAAGCTTTATTCTCTTCAATTTTCTCTCTATGCAGTTTCTCTCTTTACAATATATCTCAATAAGAGAGGACAAACTCAAAGTTCACCCAAGTATCACCTACTTTTTCCACACATGCTTTCTCTCTATTGAAAAACATCTATATAGAGAGAATAAATGCCCAAAGACCAGTACGCCAAACAAATCTCAACTTTTCTAACTTTATCAAAAAAGAACTGTATCCCTATCCATGTGAACCTAAAGCTCTATCTTAATCCAATTAGGACTTATCCATAAACTTAGATAATAAACAACATGCTCTACCCAAATAAATAAAAAACCTAAATTAAGGAAACCAATCCCTTAAAATTAGGGATTCAAGAATTCAAGATAAATATCAATAAATATCCACCTTAGCTTGAATTTCAAAAGAAAATCTCATCGACTATCTTCTCCATACGCGTCTTCATAGGCGCTTACCTTGGCAGCACATTAGTCAAATCCAAGCATAGCTTGAAATTTTGTACTGGAATCAGCTTTGTCAACATATCTACAATATTCTTCTCAGTGTCAATCTTTAGTAACAAGATATCACCTTCAGCTATGATCTCATGAATAAAATGGTATCTGACATCAATATGCTTCGTCCTTGCATGATATACCTGGTTCTTCGTCAAATGTATTGCACTCTGACTGTCACAATAAATGACAGTCCCATCTTGTAGTAAGCCCAAATCACTTACAAGCCCTCCAAGCCAAATGCCTTCTTTTACTGCCTCAGTAACAGCCACGTATTCTGCTTCAGTCTTAGACAAGGCAACAACAGTTTGTACCATTGATCTCCAACTGATTGTTGCTCTTGCAAGTGTAAACACATAATCTGTAGTAGATCTCCTACAGTCCAAATCATCTTCAATAATCAACAACCTTGTCACCAAATTTTTTATCTCTATCAAACATCAGACCCACATCTAATGTATCCCTTAGGTAACACAGAATCCATTTTACCGCATGCCAATGCTCATTTCCTGGATTAGCCATATACTTACTAACAACACTAATGGCATGAGAAATATCAGGACAAGTGCAAACCATTGCATACATAAGACTTCCAACTACACTTGCATAGGGAACACGTGACATGTATTCATTTTTAGCATCTGAACTTAGAGATAATGCTGTCGACAATCTGAAATGTGCAGTAAGAAGAGTACCCACGGGCTTTGAATTTTTCATCCCGAATCTAGTGATGACCTTCTCAATGTACTCCTTCTGAGATAGCCACAATTTACCCAACTTTTGATCTCTACGAATCTCCATACCCAACATTTTCTTTGTTGAATCTCAATCTTTCATTTCAAATTCTCTAGCAAGCCGAGTCTTCAATTTACTGATTTCTAAAGAATTATTTGCAGCAATAAGCATATCATCCACATAAAACAATAAATAGATTAACGAATCATCAGTAATTCTCTTAAAATAGACACAATTGTCATACTTATTTCTGATATACCCGTGTCCAATCATGAATGTATCAAAACGTTTGTACCACTGCTTAAGAGACTGCTTTAGGCTGTACAACGAATTCTTCAACTTGCATACATGGTCCTCCTTTCCTTTAACAACAAACCTTTCTGACTGAGTCATATAAATCTGTTATTTTAACTCTCTATGAAGGAATGCAGTCTTAACATCAAGTTAGTTTAACTCCAAATTAAACAATGCAACCATGGCTAGTTAAACTTGAATAGAAGCGTGTTTCACAATTGGAGAGAAAATCTCATTATAAACAACACATTCTTTCGGTGCATAGCCTTTTGGAACCAAACGTGCCTTAAACTGATCACCACTAATCTTAAGTGACCCATCGTTCTTTTTATAAACCCATTTTATAACCGATGGCTCTCTTGCTTTTAGGTAACTTAACAAGATCTCAAGTACGATTCATCTGAAGAGATTACATTTCTTCATCCATAGCTTCACTCCACCTGCTACTGTTATTATCCTATGTAGCTTCCTTAAAAGTAGATAGCTCTTGGCTTGTAGCAGCCAATGCATAAGCCACCATGTCCTCAAAACCGTACTGCACAACTAACTTTTTTATTCTCTTTCCCTTTCCAAACTGAGACTCTTCCCCAAGTGGAGTAGGCTCAATGACCTCCTCATGGTCAACATCTTCCTCCACTTTCTCATAGGGAATTTTTGGCACTTGATTTGAAGTATTTTCTAGAGTTATCAACTCCACCTCAATGTATCACTACTACTGCAATTTTCTTTTTCTGCACCATTTTAAATGTGCTTTAACATGGCAGATTCATCAAACTTAACATCATAACTGACAATAAACTTAGGCGACTTAGGATCTGGGTACCACATTCTATAGCCTTTAACCCCATTCGCAGAACCAAGGAAAATATACTTCTTTGACCTTGGACTTAACTTATCATCCTTCACATGAACTTAAACAGAAAAACAAAAATTCTTAAATGAGAATAAGTAGCAAGTTTACCGAACTATACCTCTTCTGGTGTTTTCTAATCTATTGTTATAGATAGTGACCTGTTAACCAGGTAACACATCGTATTGACCCTGTCTGCCCAAAAGTCCTTTGACAAACCAGCATTACTCAAAATGCTGTGGGCCTTCTCTAGAAGTGTCATGTTCATGTACTCCACAATTCCATTATGTTGCGGCGTATTCGGAATGGTGAAGTGACGAACAATTCATTCGCTCTTGCAAAAAATTCACAAACTCCGCTAAAGTGTATTATCCACCATTATCAGTCCTCAAGCACTTGACCTTCTTTCCATTATGTCTTTTGACCATTGCTTTCCACTACTTGAATGTGTTAAATACATCTGTCTCTTTTTCAATGTGCAAATCCACACCTTCTTACAAAAATCATCTATGAAGGAAACAAAGTATAGAGATCCACCTTTTGAGAAAACCGATGTAGGGCCCCAAACATCTAAATAAATATAGTCAATAATACCTTTTGTGGTATGTTCTGACATGCGAAACTGCATTCTACACTGCTTACCATAAACACAGTGCTCACAAAAGTCCAACTTGCATTTCTTCACGTTATCGATCAATTGGCGTTTGCTAAGTTCCGCCAAAGCTCTCTCACTTAGCCTAATCGCATACGCCACAATTGAGTCAAGTCAGAATTACCATCATCAGAAACAAAAATTGATGCTCTATCTGTGATAATATTCCCAAGCAGCACATATAAATTCGGTCTGATCTTCTTGCTTTTCATGACAACCAGAGCACCTTTAAGAATATTTAAAACTCCACATTCTCCAACAAATTTGTAGCCTTTGGAGTCTAAAGTACCTAGAGAAATGAGATTTTCTTCAAATCTGTAACGTGTCTAACATCAGTTAAGGTTCTAACAATTTCATCATACATATTGATAGCAATTATCTCAACACCAATGTGGTCTTGCAAGCTGCATCATTCCCCATCAAAACTGATCCACCATTAATGCTATTTATATGGTGAACCAATCCCAATGAAGGCA